ACACCTGCTGATTGACAGGGTCCTTGTCCAGCCCACTGCAACACTGGGAGCCTCGTGCTGCAGGTGGGATTGAAGAAATGTGGCTTCACTACAGGAGAAAGTCTTTCTGAGAGGCCACGCCCCCGTCGCCATGGAAAGGGTTATGCACGTGTTGGGGGCCGAGCACCAGTAGCTATCCTGTAGGAGGCATCTGTTGACTGTTTCCTTGGGGGCTACATGGGCTCCCTCTCCTCTCAGATATCTGAGTTTTGCTTATGATCAGGGCATAGGGATTTCCAAAAGGAAGATAATGGATTCTCCGCTGTTCTCCAGTTGTGTCGTAGAAAGCGTGTGCAGGGTCTGGTCTCTGTCTAAGGGGCCTTGGTTAACTCCTGGAATCCCAGCTCTGAGTATCCACCCTCTCTCCTTGTAATAACAGGGCCGTAGCCCTGCTCCCCGGCCTGCAGGCTGCTCTCCATCCCAAAGCCAGGAAGCCCACAGCCCTGACCACCGTGCACATGGCCTTACCAGGCCAGAGCGGTTTCTAGATAATGTGCTGTTCCCCACTCCAAGCCTGGAGCTTTTGAGGTAACAGACTGCGCAGGACTAGCTAGAATGGAGGCCAGAGTTTCAGAGAGCCCAGCAACTGGGGGTCCCCCTGGACAGCAGAGGAGGCCCAGGCCCCACCCGTGGCCACTCCCCATATGCTGGGCTCCTCCCCACACTCACTCAGTCCAGCTGTCGTCGGGGATGTAGCAGTACATGAGCCTGCGGGCATGGTACGGCATCCAGCAGACGACATACACGGCCACGATGGCCCCTGCAGACAGGTCGGGAGAGACAGGACAGAGAGCAAACACGGGCTCAGTTACACCCTCTCCAGGGAGGGAGCTGTCTGAAGTGACAGCAGCATTTCCCGGGAACTGGTTCCTAGAGTCTAAGGGTTGGAAGGGGACTTTGAGGTTATCTGAAGCACCCTTATCTGGATCTGTCTCCAAGCCCAAACCTGTCCACTTTAATCCTGACCTGTACACTGACATGTTTCTAGAAGCTTCTATAACATCTATATCCTCCTGGCCACCAGGATATACTCCCAACTCAGGGCTACATATTCTCACTTGGTTGTCGAACTGCAGAGACAGCAGAACTTAAATGTCCTTCTGCCTTATAAAGCCTCTCCCTCTTCTGTCCCGTTTTCTGATAGATTGATGGCACCACCATCCATCTGACACTCAGGTCATAAGCCAGAGAGTCGTCTTCTTTTCCCGTTACCCTCAAGATCCAGTGTATTGAAAAGCTCCTCCCTAGGATCTCTCCTCTCCGATCCTTCCCCTCTCCTTCACTGTGCCCACCCCAAGGGGCCCTGTCTTCCCTCCACTGAACTATGACAGCAGTCTCCTAGTTGGCCCCATTGTCCCTAACCTTCCCTTCCCTCCTTCTACTCTTGCCCATCTTTCAGTCCACTGTGGCCTGTGGACCAGAAGCATCCACATCAACTGGGAGCATGTTAGACATGTAGAATCTCAGGCACACAGAATCTCTGGGCTGGGGCCCAGTGGACCCTCCACATCAGCCTAATGCACACGGAAGTTTGAGAAGCACTGGACAGCCCACCCTCCAAAGACTGCTGAGCACTGTATCTCAAGAGAAAGTCCCCTGTCAGTCCTGGACACCGACTCTGTCAGTGACAGCCCGTTGCCTATGGCAGCAAGTCCAGGCCCTCCGTGTGCTGCCTTTGCTGCTTGTCTCATCCCATTCCACTGAGCTCTCACATTCCAGCCTGTGCACAAGACCATGGCGTTGATGACAGCAGAGACCCGGGCTTTTACTCAGTCCTCCCAGGTCTTAGTGAGTGCCTAGATTACCGCAGGTGCTTGGAGAGACCTTTGCTTTCCTGTGCCTGTCAAAGTTATCATTTAAAACCAAAGGCAAGTTTGCCCAGATACTTAAAAGACAAACAGCCAAACAGATCAATGTTGTTTCAGGGAAAAGTGGAGAGTTAGTGGAGAACTGGATTTGGACACACAGCTGGTCTGAGTCCGCAGTTCCAGGTCGGCAGGTCATTAACTACATCCGCTGTTCACGTCCACCTGTACGACCAGACTCCCTGAAAAGTAGCCCGGCACCTGCTTGTCTTTGTGTACCGCTCCCGGGCGCAGATGGGGGATTCAAGTACATAATTCCTGCTCTTTCCTTTAATTACAGCACTCCACCAGACAGAAGCCTGTTGGTGAGTCTGTGATTCCCCAGTGCATACAGGAAAATGAGGCCTAGAGGGAGGCAGTAACTTGCCCAAGGTCATGTGACCAGGGGCTGGGGGAGGCAGCCGTGGAGTCAGCCCTTCTTCTCAGGGTGGCGTTACCGGGCACTTAACTGAGAACCTGGATGCTGTGCTGGAGGCCGTGGATGCGGCTGGAGTGCTTGTGTCTCACCAGGCTGGCCTGGCCCCCCAGGGACAGTGTCTTCCTCTCCTCTCTCATTAGCTCCAGGCGACCGGGGGCAGAACTGCCTGTGGCAGGAGGGGGTGGCACCTGGGAGCAGAGGGCTGCCAGGTGGCTCACGGTGACCCCATTTAGGAAGGCAGTTAATGCCAAAGGGAGCACGAAGGACACCAGCACGTTCACCTGGAAAAGGTAATTCCAAGGGTTACAGCGGTAGCACCAAGGCTCAGCGATGCTCCAGTCACCAGGCTGTGCCCAAGGGCCAGGGGTCTCAGCATCAGGAAGGGGCGATCGCAGGTTTACAAGACGAAGTTGAGAAAACTCTCAGAAAGTAGAGAGAGAGAGCAATGAAAATAGAAGAGAGAAGAAAATTTGGGAAGGTTCGGATGGTTACCATCTACATAATAATATTCTAGAAAGAAAAAGAATTGAGAAAACAGAGGAGAAGAAATTAAAATGGAAAAAAAACCTACAAACCAAAACCATATTTAAGAAATTAATTAAAAACACCATACTGCTAAAAAATGCTAACCATCACCTGAGCCTTCAGATTGTCATAATCTTTTTGCTGGAGGAGGGTTTGAAATATTTTGAGAATTACCAAAATGTGACATACAGACATGAAGTGAACAAATGCTGTTGGAAAAATGGTGCCGATAGACTTGCTCAACTCTGGGTTGCCACAAATCTTCAATTTGTAACGAACACAATGTGAAGGATAATGAAACGAAGTATGTCTGTACAGCTTTTTATACTTTCAAAAACTCCTTGAGCAATTTCCTTGGTCAAAAAGCACTGATTAATATGGATAATGAATCAACTCACTGATAAGACCCAAGAAGAAAGGTGGACCAAAATAATCTTAATTTGAGTCTGGTTATTTTGCTGTGTTAACATAGACTGTATGTCTCAGGTTAAACATTTTTTACCTATACCATTTGTCAAATAATGCTGTTACACTGAAGGAATTCACTACATATAACATCAAAAGCTTGCCCCTCGAACACTTCTCGTGTTTTATTGCATGGGTCCGTCTGCACCATGGAAATTCTGCAAGTAGCATATTTGCAACGCAAACATCGCCTGACACTTTTCTCTCTCTCAAGCCTAACTCCAACATAAGTATGGCCTGGAAACCACTACCCTAGTCTGTGAAGAGTGGTGGAACTTGACTACCAGGCCTTTTGGGCCTGTGGTTGTCGGTTCTTTGCCAGGGCCACCCCAGGGTGCAGCAGGGAGCTGGGGAGTCAGGCCTGGGGCAGGAGCAGCAGTGCACTGACTATTCTGCTGGGCAATTCCACTGCAGCTCAGAACCTGCATGGAGGCTGCTGGGATGCTGGGAGGTGGGTGAGCATCCCGTGCTGCTCTGTGGCTATGATGTGCTTGGTCCAGCGCTGGGGCAGGCGGCAGGTGGGCTGGACTGCTGAGGTCTGAGTTCATGGTTAGTCCACCGGAAGCATTGCTCAGAGGAGCAGCTCCCACTGTTGTCAGTGGGCTCCCTTATTCTGACTGCTGTCTTGATTCCCTGCACAACCAGTTCCATTAGTGTGGTTACTGCTGATGGGTTTTGGTATTTTTTGTTTTGGTTTGGTTTCCTTTATCATCAGGTCCAGATTGGGGTAAGGAATTTGACAACTTGCCAAAATGTCTGGTATAGGAAGTGGATTTTAAAAAATTGGGGATCTTACCTAGCCAGTTCTGAGTCATTCTTCCTGTAGGGACCATAGTAAGCAACTTCTGAAGCAAGCGGAATGTTTTCTTATTGGGTTTAACTTCACATTTTCCTGTGTTCTTGTTAAGGCTGCAGTCGGTATATGTATTTTTTTTATCCTTCATTAATGTTGAATATTCAGGCCTCTCTTTTATTCAGGCTTAAAATCCCATTAAACTAGTTGTTCTTCCCAGCTTGTCGGGGGGCTAAAGATGACTTGTTTTGGTGATAATAAAAAAGCAGAAGCCTGGGGTGGGTCAAGCAATCTATATTTTTACCAGCTCCTGAGGTAATTTTAGACCCAGTCACGTTTGATCACCACTCCTGCAAGAGTAGGAAGAACAGACTTTCAGAGTTAATTTTGAATTCAAATCTGGACTTTTCCCCCTCTCCTTTTCCTTCCTTCCTTCCTTTTTCTTTCTTTC